TGTGGGGGTAAGGGAGAAGGCCTGGACCAAGGCCCTCTGGGAACTAGTTCTCACCCTACCCAGTTCCACAGGCTGCACATTCCATTCTGAGTCAAGCAGGGGGCGGGGACTGGGGGAGGTAACAGTCTGGTCTCCTGGGGGCGGATCCCCCAGAGAGCTCGAGGCCCTGAAGGGATCAGCCCTAAACCACCAGGCCGGGAGGGAGCCCCAGGAGTCCGGCCCAGTCTGTGGCCCCTTCCCTTCCTCCTCTCCACAGACCAAAACACCAAAACCCTATCTTGGACATGTCCCTGGAAGACAGGGGACAATGTGGGGGTAACGCTAAACCTCCCCCCACTTCCAACCTGGCCACAATCCCCAGGGATGCTTTATGGGGCTTTGGGTCAAGGCCACTTAAATGCTAAGGTTCTGGGCAGCCCAGGTGGCTCAGCGGTTTAGCGCTGCCTTCAGCCCGGGGCCTGATCTTGGAGGCCCCAGATCGAGTCCCTGCATGGAGCCTGCTTCTCCCTCTGCCTGTGTGTGTGTGTGTGTGTGTGTGTGTGTCTTTCATGAATGGATGAATAAAATCTTACAAAAAAATAAATATTTAAAATAAATGCTAAGGTTCTGCAGTGGGCGGGGGGTGGGGGGGTGGGCCGGGAAGTCTGAATGTTGGAACGGAGTTCAGGTTTGAAGGCCTGTGTCAGGCTTCCCAGAGTGACAGAAAGGGCAGGGTAAAGGGTCTATTTAGGAGAAAAGGTGGAAGCTGGAGCTACTGTTCCCACTTCTTCCTCTATCACCCCATACACACCTCTACCCTCAAAAACACATTCCCGGGCACCTCAACCTTTGAGTACACATCTCAGCAGCTGCTGGCTCCCCCGGCCCGTCCCCATGTGCTCTTGGTGCTGACATGCCAGGCCACACACAGACACAGGGCATCCTGGGCCAGGCCCAGGCCTTGGACTCGCCTGCAGATGACCTTGGGAGGAGGTGGGGAAACCCCAGCCACTTCCTCCTCACCTTCACAGCCTCTTGGAGGTCTGACCACTGTCCTGTCTGGGTCTGGGTCTGGGTCCATCCAGATCCTTCAAGACAGCACCTAGTGGGGGGCGGGGGGAAGACTGGGCAAGGCCAGGGCCACAGGGCCCCTTGGCTGCTCCCAGATGAGGCAGGCCACAGAAGCAGGGCGGAAGAGCCAAGAACATGCCCGGAGCAGCAGGTGGCAACTGCCAGGTTCTATGCTGCGGGCCGGGCCAGAGTCCTGGGGGGCCTTCACCTTGAGGCCTGAGCAGGAAAGGCCTCGGGGGTCTCTGGCTAGGTCCATGGGATAGAACAAGCACTCAGGCCCAACTAGACCCCCTCTCCCACTCCACCCACTCTTAGGAGGAGACCACCATGTTACTGCTGTTCAGAGAGTATTTGGATTTTGTAAAGGAACAGAGTCACACCTGACTGACCTGAGAAGCAAGCAGAGGTCGAAGATGGTCCTGCTGAGCTGGCCTGCAACAGATTTCCTGATCAAGGCTTCCCAAGGAGCTGGAAGGAGGACTCCAAGGAAGAGGCAGCCAAAATGAAGGTGACCCAAGCAAAGACCCCGTCTAGGGCATGCCCTCCTGCTTGGGAGCAGGGAGACAGAGAGAGGACAGGAGAGGTAAAAGCGATCTCCCATGGGTCCTGGTTCCTTGCCTGGCGAAGGGCACTGTGACAGCCTTCCTGGCTAACGTATCCAGGTTCCAGAAAGGAGACTAGCAAAGGGTGAGGACTGCAGCGCGTTTGGACAGGAGCGAACCCTCTTAAGCAAACACCGAGCACAAAAATAATTCCCATTCAAAGCACGATTTACTGTGGGCCTGGCTGGGCCTTCTCGGCACAGAGTCTTATTCAAAGGCTCCCCCTTCACCTCTGAATGTGGCCGGGGGAGGGGCAGGCAGGCCCAGTGATTTGAATTCCACTTTTTCCAGAGGCTTCCTGGCAACCTATTGGGAACTACCCAATAAAGGACAATCTCAAAGCGCCCCTGAGGGAGGAGTAAACTAGTGTAGAGTGTCAGCTCCTCAAGGGCAGGAACATTATTTTTTTTTTTAAGATTTTATTTATTTATTCATGAGAGAGAGAGAGAGAGGCAGAGACACAGGCAGAGGGAGAAGCAGGCTCCATGCAGGGAGCCGGACGTGGGACTCGATCCGGGGACTCCAGGATCACGCCCTGCCCCGAAGGCAGGCGCTACACCGCTGAGCCACCCAGGGATCATCCCCAAGGGAGGAACATTAGATCCTCTACGGGCGCAGGCCTCTCAAGCCAACACTTGTCTGACATGGGGCACCACTGCAGCCTTAATGGATATGAGCCTCCAGAGCTGTAAGAGTTTAAGTACTGTTGCTGTTACTGTCCCATTTCCTGGGACGTGACGGGAAAACAGAGTCTCAGAGCTGTTAAGTGATGGACATCTCTCCCAGCTCTAAATTCTTACTGGATACATCATGTTGTCCTGAATCTGCTAATTATCAGAGCAGCAAAATGTTCAGGGTGGGGATCTCCCCCACTAAGGAAAGAGGGGCTAAGGAGGAAGCTGGCCAGGGAGATGCTTTCAGAGTCCAGGCAGTATTGGAAATCGCCTTCACCGGTACTGACCCCAACACTCTTGATCACAAAATCTGAGTTGGGGATCTGAGTTGCCTTCTCTAGGGCAGCCCAGGTGGCTCAGCGGTTTAACGCCGCCTTCAGCCCAGAGTATGATCCTGGGGATCCAGGATCGAGTCCCATGTCAGGCTCCCTGCATGGAGCCTGCTGCTCCCTCTGCCTGTGTCTCTAACTTTCTCTCTGCCTGTGTCTCTCATGAATGAATAAATAAAATCTAAAAAAAAAAAAAAAAGAATGCCTTCTCTAGGCAAGAGCAAAGAGTGGCTAATGAAACCCACTGGCTCCATCTCCAGAACAATTTGCCCTCCATTCCGAATCGAATCGGCCTCCTAGCTAGACTCCTCTGTTGCGCTCTCCTTCAAACTCCACTCTATTAGCAGCCAAAGTGACCTCTCTTTTTCACATTTTCCCCACTTACTAAAGTAATTCATGACCATTGTCACCCATTGTCCAGCACCTGGAATTAGCTCTATAAACATTTCGAGGCAGCCTTATGCAGGATGGGTGTGCCCATAGATACAATTATCTGCACAAAATTAGTACTATACCAGATAGTTTCATATAGGGCTTTTTTTTAAAACCCATTTTATTATATACATTTTCCAGATTATAAGCTATTCTTTCTTTACCTACGCTTTTTGGGGTTTGAATTTTTTGGCATAGTTGATCTAGGTACATGGCACTACATTCAGGCAGGACGAAAGGGTCCCAGAGTAAAAATACCATCTTTCCTCCATCCCGTCCTATCCCTCACCCGCGGTTTCCCTCCCCAGGGGGCAACTCTGATTACCTGTTTCTTATATACTCCATAATCTTTTAAAATCATCTATCAGATCACGTCATTCCCCTCCTTAAAACTCTCCCACGGCTTCCCATCACAATGGCCATAAAATCCAAGCTCCTAACCCGTCCTACCAGGTCCCGTGGGACCAGGCTCTCGCCCTCCCCTGATTTCCTCCAGCCACACTGCTGTTTGCAAACCCTGATCTGGCCTCAGGGATTTTTCATTCCCTCGGCCTGGAATCCTTTCTTCAGTCTTTGTGCAGCTGGCTCCTTCTCATCCTTCAGGCCTCGGCTCAGCCATCCTCCCCCCGACAGCAGCGTTCACTGGCCTCCACGTACGGCCACCCCTGCCGGCCTGCATGCACGCAATCTGTACCACATCACCATGCCTGCCGTAGCTCTTCCCCACCACGTAGAGTCTAATGTTGCCTTGGTTACTTATTTCAAGTTATTTAGTCCACTAGAAAGGATGCTCTATGAGGGCGGGCACGCTGCCTGTCCGGTTCACCCCTGAAGCCGCACTGCCTGCACGTAAGCATTTGATACATTTCTGTTAAAGGCACGAATAGGAGGAGCGTGATGTTGGTTCTCATCACTGAAAACAACCCACAGCCCACCAGCAGGATCTCTGAGCACCAAGCACCAATCTCCTGGCTGCCCCCCCCCCTCCATGCCCCGGGCTGGGGCCTAGAGAATCAGAGAGAGGAAAGAGCAGCCCATTGTCCGGGCAGCATCCACCTGCTCCTCCCTCCTTATCATCCAGCTCATCCCTTACTGGTGCTGTGCATGTGCAGAGTCCAGAATCAGACAAGGAGCTTGTGAAAAACCTGATTTCCTATAAAATACTCTAAGTGTATGTGGAAAGTTGAAGGTCTACCAGGCATCCAGCCTACCCAGGCAGCTGGGATATTCCAGGTTCCCAAGTGAGCTCCAACAGCAGGTGACACTGATGCTACACAGGGAGCAGAGCTTACCCTGAGGAGCAGCCTCAGCTCATCCCACCAGACACCCCTCCCCAGCCCCCACCCCCCCCCCCAGGGCCCCAGACACCTGGGCTCCTCTCTCTGGAAATTCATCCAGCCCCAGAGACACAAACCACATCCAATCCTGAGCCAGCAGCCCAAGCCAGGATACTCAGGGGACACCCTCGTGGAGACACTTCCTTCCTGGGGCCTGATTTCCACTGAGAAAAGACTGCAGGTGGGCCTGGGCCAAGATCGATTTTTTTAAGAATGAGGGAAAGGAAGGAATGAAGTGCCTCTCACAAAAACTGTGAAATAAAGGGGGGGGGGGGCAAAAGGGGGGGATGATGAAAGACTTCACAAGGTGGACCTGGACAAGGAGTAGTGGGAATCTGAGGAGCCCAAATCAGGAAAGGGTAGGAAGTGTGAGGTTTCTTTCCTTCCCAGAAGTGGACAGTTGTTATAACCGATTAAAGGAGCACGATCCCAAAGTGCCCTTCTCGGTTCTGAGAAAGTCAAGGTCAGCCGAGTAATAAGGGCAAAACCAGCGAGCATTTCTCCAGCACTTACTATGTGCCAGGCACTGTTCTGTGAACCAGATGAGCCAACCGTGGCACACGGCAATGAGGTTACCTTGCTCAAGATCATGTCCCCGGGGGCAGGATCTAGCACCTACTTCCGTTGCCCTGACTCTTCAGCACCAGAGGCTTTCCGGGGTCCCACTCGGGGGGCCCCATCCTCCTGGAGTTCATGCCTTCCCCAGACCATTATCCCTCGACTGATGTTTCGATTCCGGTCTCAGAGATGTGTGCGTCATTCTTCTGCCCCCTGTGCATAGGGGGGAAATCTGGAAGAGTCCAGGGTTAGCCGGAGCTCACGGTGCCCACTGGAGGGGAACTGGAACCAAGGTGTGGGGGACCCCTGGGGGGCGCAGCGGTCGGGCGCCTGCCTTTGGCCCAGGGCGCGATGGTCCTGGAGACCCGGGATCGAGTCCCACGTCGGGCTCCCGGTGCGTGGAGCCTGCTTCTCCCTCTGCCTGTGTCTCTGCCTCTCTCTCTCTCTCTCTCTCTCTCTCTCTCTGTCTCTCTCATAAACAAACAAATAAAACAAATAAAAAAAGAACCGAAGTGTGTCGCACCCCGCACCCCGGAATGTGGGGCGCTGCTCCCGGCCCGGATCCCCAAACTCCGCCCCGAGCTACAGTACAGCATCGCCCCAGGCCTGGGCCGGGCCATTCCCGCAGAGTCGCGGCGAACTTCCCGGGAAAAGTCCTTCGCTTCCTCCGTGCCCCGCCGCCGGGGCCGCTGCCAAGTCGCCGCTGGAGTCCTCGCAGCTGCCGTGGGCCCTCGGGGGCGGGCGCCGCTCGCGCGCTCCGGGCCCGCCCGGAAAGGTCCGGGGCCCGAGCCCGACACCCACGTCCCGCCCGGGGCTCCCCGCGGCGCCGGCCGCCCCGTCCCATCCCGCGGGCGACCCCTGCGCGTCCGGGGACCCGCGGCAGCCGGCGTGGGCGTGGGCGTGGGCGCGCGTGTGTGTGTCCGCGCGTGTGTGTGTTCACGCTCGGAGCGCGCGGGTGGGAAAACAATGGCGAGCGGCTGGGAGCGCAGCGGCGGGCCCCCTCCCCTCCCCTCCCCTCCCCGCCCCCCCGCCCCCCGCCCCCCCACCCCGGGGCAAGACTTGCTTCGCGGCGCAATCGAGATGCTGCAGAGATTCACCCCCGACTGCGAAGGCGGGAGGGGGAGGGGGAGGGGGAGGGGGAGGGGGGAGGCGAGAGGGGGCGAGGCCGGAGCGGCTGGAGCAGAAAGCAAACAGGATGCTGCGCCCGGCGGGTCCGCCGCGGTGCGACCCTGGAGGGGCGGGAGCGGCTGCGTGGCGGGTCCCCGGGTCGGTCCGCTTCTGGGCGCCCAGACCCGAGCCCCGCGCGGGGCGCGCACAGGTCGCAGCGGCTTCCCGCTGGGAACCCCCGGAGCGGGGCGGCGGGGCGGCGGGGCGGCGGGGCGGCGGGGCGGCGGCCCTCGAGCCCCCTCGAGCCCCCTCGAGCCCCGGACGCCCGGCGGGGGGGGGGGCGCGCGGACACCCGAGCCCCACCCCCACCCCCACCCCCCGCGCCAGGCCGCCGCCCCCCGGCACAGGAGCCCGGGTCGGCCCGCGGGGAGCGTCCGGGGCCGGCGCGGGGGGTGGGGGCCGTGGGGGTCCGCTCCGCGGCGCCTCGAGAAACTTTGCAAAGGACGGAAACTCGCGGAAACGGAGAGCGGCGCGCGCCCAGGGCCGCGGGGGCGCGAGTGTCAAACTTGGCGGGGCGGGGGGGGGGGTCCCGGGGACACTTACTAGTCGGCGCCCGCGGCTCCGCGCTCCGGCCGCTCCGCTCGGTCCTCGCGCTGCCAGCCCGGGCTCCCCGCTCACATGCCCGGCGGCGGGGCTGGCGGCGCCCGGGGCTGGCGGCGCCCGGGGCTGGCGGGGCCCGGGGCCGCCCTGGGTCCTCGCCGTCCCCGCAGCGAGCTGCTCCCCGCCGGGCGGCGCCCTCCGCCGAGCCGGGCCGCTCCCGCGCTGCGCCCGCGCCCCGCGCCCCGCGCCCCCCGCTCCCCGCGGGGCCGCGGCTCAGACCTGGGCTCGCCGCCGCCGGGCCGGGGCTCCAGGGCCCGCCACTCGCGCAGCCCGTCGCAGCCGGGACCCGGGGCAGGGCGCGCGCAGCCCGCAGCCCGCAGCCCGCAGCCCGCAGCCGCCAGGCGACTCCACGGCCTCGGAGGAGAAAGAGGGAGGGAGAGACGGAGAGCGGGCAGGGGAGGAGGGAGGGGGGAGGGGGAGGGGGAGGGGGGAGGGTGGGGAGACGCCGAGGAGGGAGGGACGCAGAGCTCCCTCCTCCTCCCCGCAGCCGGGCCCACCCCGGCCTCCGCCGCCGGGAACTGCGCTGCCGCGGAGGACGCGGGTCTGGCCGCTCGCGTTGCGCAGGTGCGAGGGTCGCTCCCAGACCCCCCCCCCCCGGCTTAGGGCAAGACCCCAGAAGTTGCCCGTGCAGCCCCCGGCCCGCTGGCCGTCCGCGCGGCCGCGATGCCGAGGTGCAGCCCCTGGCCCAGAACCTCCCTGGGGAGCCTCACCCACCTGCAGCCGCCCCGGGCGCCCCGGGTGCCGGCGACCACGCTCCAGCCCTGGCAGTTGGCGCTCCCTCCAGTGCTTGCTTCTGCTTTCCTGAGCCGCTTCTGTTTAAAGGGCTGGATTCCTTGAATTCAGGGTATTTACGAAACGCCTATAGTACGCCTGGCCCAACAGGGCGCCGGGGGCACCAGGATGAATGAGACGGTGCCCTGCCCTTCCTAGAGTCCCACTTTGGGAAGGAGACAGATGAGCGATCGTGTCCTTACAGGGAGCTGGGGGAGTGCCGAGACCAGACCCATATAGGGGGCTGGGGCTGCCAAGGGCGCTCGGGCCTGGGGGCAGGGATCAGTCTTCTTGGGGGAGGTGGGATCTGAACTGGGTCTCAGAAAGTAGAGCAGGTCAAGGGAGTGGCAGCCGTGAAACTGCGAATAATGTGCCCACAGGGCAGGTGGCCAGTGTCTCCTCAGCAGGGGACGGCCAGCCAGGCTCCTAAAACCTTCTGAGGGCTTTGGAGTTCATCATTCCTCAAGGCCTTCCTTACCCGACTCCTCTCATTCATCTTTTAGGTCTCAGCCTAGATATCAGTTCTTCCAGAAACATGTTTCAGCAGCCCAATCTGGGTCAGGTGCCCCATCTATGTAGGGGCTCCCTACACACACACACGCGCGCGCACACACACACACACACACACACACACACACACACGCCACCCTGTCCCACACCTTGTACTTATCTGTGTGGCTCCCCTCACTGGACTTCAAGCTCCTGGAGAGCAGGGACATCGCTCTGGCTCACTGTTACATCCCTTGTGCCTAGTGAGGGCTTGGCAAAGAGCAGGCCCTTAATAAGTATTTGTTAGTTGAAAGGAATGGGAAGTCACTGAGGGGATTCTAAAGAGGGCTTCTGGTGAGATCAGGCTAGCCGAGGCAGGGAGGCCAGTGACCAGACAATGGCAGTCACCAGGTAGAAATGATACAGATAGGGGATCCCTGGGTGGCTCAGCAGTTTAGCGCCCGCCTTCGGCTCAGGGCATGATCCTGGAGTCCCTGGATCAAGTCCCACATTGGGCTCCCAGCATGGAGCCTGCTTCTCCCTCTGCCCGTGTCTCTGCCTCTCTCTCTCTCTCTCCCTCTCTGTGTGTGTCTTTCATGAATAAAGAAATAAAATCTTAAAAAAAAAAAAAGAAAGAAAGAAAGAAATGATACAGACCTCAGCTAAGTAAGCTAGGGACAGGGAGGATGAAAAGGGAGCAGGGGGATTGAGGAGGGACAAGTCAATATTAACTCTTAACCAACTGCCTTTTTTTTTTTTTAAGATTTTATTTATTTATTCATGAGAGACACACACAGAGAGAGAGGAAGCTGTTTGTTGGAAGATTCCTAGGAAGAATCTAGGAAGATTCTTTCTGTACCACCACACCATTTCCTGGGAACACCCAGCAGAATGACACTATTTAACCTAGTGGGCCACTCCCTCGTCAAAATGCTCACTTCATGGCCCCATATCCCCCCACCCCCAGCCCCGGGTTTCTTCTGACTTCAGTGGTCATCCTTTCTTAGCCTCCCTTATTTATATTCCTTCCTCCTTCCTCCACCTTGTCTGCAGGTCGGTGTTTCCAGTGGATTCCCTTCTGCATCCCATTTTCCTATCTCTCTCCCTTCTCTCTGTAGATTAAATTTTATGTTTCCATAGCTTTAAATACCAACTATTGGGGCCCCGGGATGACACAGTCGGTTAATTGTCTGACACTTGATTTTGGCTCAGGTCATGATCTCAGAGTTGCGAGATCCAGCCCCCACCCATTAGGCTCCATGGGGAGTCTACTTAAGACTCTCTCCCTCTGCCCCTCCCCAGCCAGCCGGCTATCTCAAATAAATAAATACCAACTATGTGCTAATGATTCTCCCAGTTATTTGTTGTTTTTGTTGGGTTGTTTTTTTTTTTTAAGATTTATTTATTTGACAGAGAGAACCAGAGAGCACTAGTGGAGGTGGGGGCGGGGGCTGGCAGAGGGAGAAGGAGAAGCAAGCTCCCCGCTGAGCAGGGAGCCCTATGCGGGGCTCGATCCCAGGACCCTGAGCTGAAGACAGATACTTAACCAACTGAGCCACCCAGACGCCCTGATTCTCCCAGTTTTTAATGTAAATCTCCCAAACTACTTAGTGCACCTCAGAGTCATGTATCCGATCATATACACAGACATCCTAAATTTAACGTGTTCTGAGATGGATCTTTAAACACTCCTCCCTTGGGATCCCTGGGTGGCGCAGTGGTTTGGCGCCTGCCTTTGGCCCAGGGCGCGATCCTGGAGACCCGGGATCGAATCCCACGTCGGGCTCCCCGTGCATGGAGCCTGCTTCTCGCTCTGCCTATGTCTCTGCCTCTCTCTCTCTCTGTGTGTGACTATCATTAAAAAAAAAAAAAAATTGTAAACACTCCTCCCTCCCCATGCCCATGTACAGCTTGTACCATCTTTCCCGTCACAGAAAATGGTACTACCTGGAGGCTGGAGCCTAAAACCTAGAAGTCATCCTTGATTCTTCCTATCTTCCTTTCTATCTCCACAAGTAAGTCCCAGTCCTCTTCTTCTCTATCCCCACTGTCCCCACCCTGGCCCAGGTCATCATCATCTGTCAGCTGGACCACCACAGCCTTACTGCTTCGGAGAACTGAGACCACCTGAATTTCACTAGGGCTGCTTACATCAACGTGACTTTAATATTTGTTCCAGAAATTTATTGCCCAGGAGGATAGGCCCATAAACTAGTAAATAATTTCATTATTTTGCTCCAGGAACTAACTGAAAATCAATTTATCTGAACAATAGACTACTCAAACAGCCCCCTTCTTGGGACAAT